CCATATGCATTTGGCTTATTAAAATGAAGACTCTATGTAGCATAAAGCTGACCCTGTACTCAGTACTCCTTTTGCAGAAAAGTTGCACAAATTTGTTTTAAAATTGAAATTAAAAATGCTCTAGTTGGGAGTTCGTGACTGGGGCATATCCACAACCTCTTGGTGGTATATATTATTCTAGAAGAATCAAAGTTGTTGATTCTAGCTCTTAAAACCTAAGAGATTGGCTGAAGAATACAAGGTTTGGATATCGATTATTATCGATTGCTTGAAAACGGGGCAGGTTATCGATTATTAGACCTACGTTCCAAATTTCAAGTCTTTAGCTCTTCTGAGATCCTTGCGATCCACGTGGCTAGATCGACTCGGTTATTAATGCGGATCAATAATATATATAGTCGGAGATGCTTCCTTCTGTCTGTTACATGCATTGGCACAAAAACATTATACCCCTTTTACCCAGTTTCAATAGGTCCTGGGTAAAAAAAGTATGTATTTAATTCGAAAATTGCAAATATAGAAACTTAATATTACAATTTATCAAATAGAAACTTAATATTACAATCAAATTAATGTTTTGCTCTAACTTTCAATAATTAATATCTTTTGTTCACATCGTATTGTTAATAAAAATGTTGGCTGTCATTGACAAAGCTGGCCTAGAAGTTTTTCGTTTTGGTCAAAATCTATAAGTATATTTAAGCCGACTTGGGCGAATGCAGCTTAACCAGCGACACACTCACGTAATTCTCCATAAACTTCCTTTACGCGCGCTCTCTCTCTCTCTCTATCTCACTCTCTCTAACTGAAAATCGACATTAGCGGCATTAAAAGTTGTGGTCCCCCCACCCCTCCCTCTCTCTCTCTCTGCCACCCTCCCTCTTCCGTTCTACCCACAACACTTTATGCTTAAGCATAGGATATTCCATGACAACATGAAAAACTTTGCGCTTTCGCTTTATTAAGCGTAAAAAGAATAAAAGTTTCATTTTGCCAACGTTATAATTAATACGCAAATCCCTTGCAATGCCCCTCAAATCCCACCACCCCCCTCCCCCACCACAATCGTCTCATTTCGTGATGCACAACAAAGGGGCAGAAAAATTTGAGCTGTTCATATTTCAAAGAAAATTACGTTATTAATTTTGTTATACAGATGCCAAATATTATCTTTGTATTATGCAGATTAATGCAGTCAAAGTGCACGGGCGAGGGGTGCGAAGCGGAAAGGGGTTAAGGGAGGGGGGCGCTATCAGCATAGCTACAAATCAGCAACCGTTTTAATGCAATTCAATTAATTCCATTCGAAATCTAATTGGAGATATCGCTTTTGGGTGTCAAAACAAGGCAAAGCAAAACAAAGCGAAGCACACAATAAAAATGCAAAGCAAAGCGAATGCAAAATAAGAAAGAACAGTTATGTTCGCCGCACAGAATATCAAATACACTTGCGAACAAATGGCAGCGGTTCGCCTTTAAGTTGGCAATGCCTTAAAGTGTTGCCATACCAAAAACAATATTTGCATTGCTTGCAGTCATATGATAGATACATGAATCAATATGTATACGTTATTTGTTCTTGAAAATGCCTTGCGTCACATATTTTGTGCGGAGTTTAACGTACTTTTTACAGAAGGGTATAACGAAATGCAAACGGCAGACAAACTGTCAGCCAAAACGGGAAAGACACAGTCTCAGGAACAGCGAGAAGGGCGTGCGAGTGTATGGAGGAGGGGCGGCTGGCAACACTTGCTTGTGTGTGTTTGTGTGTGCGTGTGACGTCATTACGTAATCAAATCAAATAACGATTTTGTACATGGTTCAAATTGTTGTTGTTAGCGCAGCTTTGACAAAAAAAAAATAAATAAATAAATAAAAATGCAAATTTATTTGATTTTTATTATTTGTGAAGCGATTGTTTCTCGCTTTCAGTTTTTGTTTTTTTCGTTTTTGGCTTTTGGTGGTTTATTACGTGACAACTTTGAATTAGTCGTTTGCGGTATAATGCCATTCCACCACCCCCCCTCCCCCACCGAACGTTCGTCCAAAAAGAAGAGGAAAGAAAGAAAGAAGCGAATCGCATTTGAAATTTGACTCAAATTTGGGAATGTTTGCCAGGTCAGCAGCGGTTAACAACAGGTCAAGAGGTCACAACTAGTGAACAAGTGGCGGAAAGTGCCTTAAAAGCATATATATAACATATGTGTGTATATGTATATAGTATAAGGTATATAGAGCATGGAAAATCTAGCATCATACCCTGTAATTAGGCCGAATAGTCACAAATATAATAAGTATATTCAAAATATATTAGAAACATAAAGCGCAAGCAGAAAATCGAAATAAGTCAGTTGTGATCGACTTTGACATACCCTGCACTTAAGCTGAATAGTCGTAGATATAATATATACAATAAAATCCATTTAAAATATAGCGCAAGCCAAATCTAGTTGATTATGCAGCAAATCAAGAGAAAATGTTAGCAAGTGATCGACCCTAAGACACCCTGTACTTGCGGCATATAGTAAAATATATTATTTATGCAAAACACAAAGCGCATGCAAAATATATTTGATTAAGCGCCAAATCTAATTAAAGAAAAAAGTCACAAGTGATCGACTATTGCATACCCTGTACTTAGGCCGACTTTTGCATCCAGTACAAGAGAGTTTCAGTCATGATTGTTTGAGCAGCAGATCATTCCAAAACTCAGTACTAAAGCAGTCGAGTCGAAAGTGATCGACAAGCAGTATAGGGTATCTGGTAATACTATATTATAGTTCCAACTGCTTCAATCGAGATTGACAAAATGAAGCAAAACTAAAGTAAGAGCCAAGTTTATACCCTGTACCTAGTTCTGCAGTGTTCTAAGCAAGACTGATCGACCAGAAAATACCCAATAGTTGACAAAGACGACACTCCAAAGCAACCTTGCCCGAAAAAATAGTGTTGGACAACGAATATATTCTCTATCAGCATGTTATACCCATTTAATCCGTTTCTTCTCTGTGCACAGGGTACACAAAGGAATTTATAGGCACACGAGCGAACATAATAGCTTAGTAGACCCATTGATATCTCTCACAATTTTGCGTAATTGGATATTAGTAACTAATTGGAATGCGCTCTTGCAAAATGATTTATTCATTAACAAAATCAAAGCTCACACCTCGACAATATACGAAATGGTCCGACATACCACAAATGAATTTAAATTCCAAAAATTATCATGATTAAATGTGTGGCCCGAATTGTTGTTGTTCTTGTTGTTGTTGTTGTTGTGCTAATTAAGTTGCAAGTAGTTGCCTCTAATTAATGATGAGCGATTAAAATGCATTCCCAAGTGCTGCTACACAAACAATTGAAACCCCAAAGATGTAGATAGTAGAAACAAATAGTTAGTCTTGGACAATTTCGAGCGTACATACATATATCTTTAATCTGAAAATGAAATGACCCCGAGGCGGCAGTTTTCAAATGCTTGGTCCAAATGCTGCTCTTTGGTATCATATAAGCAACAGCTAACAGCAGCAAAAACACAAAATAAGTGTGTGCTCTAGTCACCGACTAGGAAATACCCTGCACAGAGAGTTAAGTTTGCTTTTAGCGAAATTCTTCCTTTTTCTTACCTTAGCTCTATGCCAAATATGTTCTTGATTAACTTCGGCGTTTATGAAAATTTTGGGACATATTTAAAGCATTCAAATATGTGTAAAACTCTTTTTCAGAAAGAGGTATTCAAAAAATTAAATATACCCAATTTGGTGTCTCTAGCTCTGATAAGCTCTGAGATATGCTCATAAAACAGCGCCGATAACGATTAATCGATTAATATTAATCGATTTCATAAAAGCAAATCAATTTATCGATTATTTAAAATTAAATTGTACTGCCTGGCCTTTAGCGAGATATACCTATCAAATATTATACCTGTAGCTATTATAATTTCCGAGCTCGAAGCTTTTGATGGATCAATTCGACTGTCATCAGGAATATATATACACTATAGATTTCGGCCTGACTTCTTCTGCCTATTACATGCACTTGCGCACAAACATCATACCCTTTTGGCCATTTGCAATGGGCATAGGGTATAGAAACAATAACAGCAACTGTTTTGGCTAACAAACCAACAACTAACAAAACAGAGCTCTAAACGTTTACGAAATGCAGCGTGCCGGGCCTCCGGACGTTGAAATCAATTTTGCGAAATTTTGTTTATTTATAACATTAAGAAGTAAACCTGACCAACGACAACAGGCGACAACAACAGCACGCAAAGAAATTAATGATATGATTTAAATGCGGCAGCCAAAATACACTTTCATACAGAAAGCTTAGGCTCAAAGGTTTTATGAAATATAATTTATATGTTGTCAATCATTTTATATAGAGCTCAATCCATTTACATAATGGTGTTTGTATGATAGAGATCGGAGAGTTTATCTTTATAGATAATACTGGAATTCTTTTGTAAAGGGTATTAAACACTTCTATCCGGTTCAAGTTTCTTCTTAATCTGTCTTGACATTACTTTTCCACCCTTTTTCCACCCTTCAAAAGTATAATATAGGCATACATATAGATATGCAAACATTCTTAATCGAATTTGAAGGCGATCGGATGGATCAAAAAGATATAAAAGAACCAATCAAGACTTTCCGGAGACTGAACTATCAAAAATTGTTGAATCACGGATTCCTTTTTTAAACAGATATTTCAGCCGAACTTTCCGTTAAAAAAAAGTGGATTCTGCGTAAAGCGTGAAACATGTCACAAAGATGTTTCAAAATAAATTTGAAGCCAATCGGATGATTGAGAAAAAGTCTCATACAAATATTTTATAGTTTAAGTTATGCTTCCTGTTCCCTAAAATCGCCCGGACTATAGCTCCATATAGATTATAGTAAAAGTCTAATATGCAGAATATATGCACTTACCACTGCCACTATTTGATGGATAATTATTTATAATTTAAATTTGATCTCCAAATCCGATTGGGCGACTTTCTAAAAGGCAAGAAAATGAGCAAAGTTGAACAATAAACACAATTTAAAGTAGGCATAGTACCCGGATTGGAAGTGTATGGCAAAACGTAGGCCGTTCACTTGCCCATCGCTCTTTCCCATTGCGGCATTAAATTACAAGAGTGGCCCAGTCAGTCGGACAGGTGAGCAGGTGATCAGGTGAGCTCTGCGACGCGTACAGCTGATAGATGTTGGATTTGGTTTGCAAAGTCTGCAAAGCCCGGTAACAAGCGATACCGATATACCGATCCACCTGACGGCGGATGGCCAACATTATTTAGTTTTTATTTTCGCACTTTTTGCATAAATTAAATACAAGTCGAACGCGCGCGCGCGGGCCTCAATGTCGGCGATAGCTGGCGGCGAGTTTAGTTAACGTCTTTGCGCGCAGCGGTTCGGTTCGGTACGGTTTCTGGGTATGGCGTCGCTCTGAAAGGCAAACACAAACAGCGTAACGCAAATATTAATAACAAATACGATATCAAAGCTCTTTTACAATGTGTGAAGATTTACCCAGATCTTTGTTGCTGCCGCTGCTGTTGCAGTCGCTATTGTTGTTGCCCGCCGCGTTGACTGCCGCGCCGGGCAGAGAAAGCGTTGTCGGGCAGCAGCCGGCGCCGCAGCGTGTCCATTATCCGGCTGGTGTGGATTTCTTTGAGCATGAGTTCAGCAGCCTGGCGGCAGGTGCGTCCAAGCCGGCCAGTTCCATAGTTTCCATACTAAGCTCTAACTCTTCTTGCAGACGAGTTTGATCCGTTCGGGCCGGATATCGGGGATGATGATCTGGGCATTGACGATCCGGAGACCATGCCGCGCTTGTTCCAGGGCGACATTGCCATCGATCCCTATACGTACATTACGCTGCGTCTGGGCGTGAATCCCATGCGACATCCGAAACGCTTGTGGCCCAACGGCACCATACCCTTTGCGATTAGCCCGCGCTACGAGAGCAGGGAGCGACAATCTATTATGCATGCTTTGTGGACATTCAATTCGCTCACCTGCATCCGGTTTTTGCCATACGATGGCTATGTGGAGGATTATCTGCTGATTGAGCCGCCCGAGGAGGGGCCGCAGGGCTGCTGGTCGTATGTGGGCAAGCGGGGCGGGGAGCAGGTCGTCGCCCTGCAGCGGCCCGACGAGACGAGCGCCCACTGCTTCAGCAGCGAGGGACGCATCATGCACGAGCTAATGCATGCGATTGGCATCTACCATGAGCAATCGCGCGCGGATCGGGACAACTTTGTGAAGATCCACTGGGACAATATTGTGCCGCGTTTCCGTAAGAATTTCAAGCTCGTCTCGCGCAAGCGGGGCAAATACGCCTTCGACTACGATTACAACTCGGTGATGCATTACGGCGAGTACTATTTTAGCAAAAAGAAGGGTCAAAAGCCAACGATGACGCCGCTGCAGCCGGGCGTCCGAATTGGCCAGAGGAAGACGATCAGCCAAATTGATTGCCTCAAGATAAACGATTTGTACGGCTGTCTGAATGGTCGGCGTGCCAAAATGTATAGGGCGTTTTGTAGTTTATTAGGTTTGTAGTTGTTGCACTAATTGTATTTTTATTTGAATCACATTGATTTGCTAATTTAATAAATTATACACATTGCGAAATTGCACGCGTTTTTACTGTTTTTAAATAACTGTAAAGTTGCCACTGCAGAGCGTTGCCACATTCACAAATGGCATTGCGTCAACTTAATTCCACACGAAAGCCAGCAGGTGGCGCTATACGCGTTTGAGTAGCGCAAAGTGTCGAGCGACTGGCTCAATTTTCAAATAATTTTGTTATTCAATGCTTATGTAACAAAATATTCGTTGTTTGCATATTATTTATATTTCTTAGCACATAAAATACAAGCAACTGGCATATGCAACGTTGTCTGACGGAACAGTTTTGGTGTACAGAACATCGATTGCAGTCAATGCAACCCTCGTTGCCAATCGATGTAACGCACGATAGTTTGTTGCTGCAATATCGTGGGAAAAAATTCATCGTCTTTCATTTCCATTTTGGACGAGGTTAGGTAAGAACACGCGCGCATAGACCTGCACGAGTTTAGTGCATAATAAGTGAAAATTGTTAGATTATTAAACGAAATAAATTATTGCTTAGTTAAATATGTTAAAATTAGTACAATATGTAGCGCGTAAATCGTGCGAAGCTGCGACGCTACCCACATGCAGCTGGCGCAATTTATTGATTTCACCAAACAGCATGGAAAAATGTGTAACGCAACGTCGCCATTTTCTTTTTTGCTCGACCAACAGAACAACCAGCAGCAGTCTTGCTTCCATCTGCAGAGAACAACCACAACAGTTCCAAGGGAGCCGGTCTAGCCAGGAGTCAGCAGTACCCACACATAGAGTATTATTCAGTTGCTCCCAGCAGACACAGCGTGCGTTTCATTTGTCGTCAACTCGATACGAAACATCCAGATTAGTCGACGAAGCACTCCCAGCAGACAGGCAAACTACTACTTTGTCCAAACGTACGAGGAAATCGCTTTTTATTGACCCAGACGAGCAATCAGAGGAAATCAAAATTGAAGGAATAATGTAAGTAAATTTCTAATGGAAATTCAATGAAAAACGCGCTTATAGAAACATGTACATGTATGGGTACATATGCTGTTGTAGTTGTTGGGGTTTTTTTCCGTCGCCATTTTCTTGCCCACGCTTTGCGCTCAACGTTCGTAAAGTCTGTATACCTCGAAACTCAACGATGAGTAATTAATGAAGAGTTGCAAATGCCGAAGGGAAAGCAAACAGCGGAAAATCAACTTTTTTTTTGTTGTTCTTCGTTTTTCTACTGTTATTATTTTTCTTACCCGCAAGCAACAACTAATAGCAAGAACCACAACAACAGGAAAAGGGGTGGGGGAAATGTCAGTGTACGTCATAAAGAGAATTGGCTTGATTTGTGAAACGTGTCTTTACTTCGTTTGCTTTTTTATAGCATTTTAATTTGTCTGTATGCCCTCAACACGAGCACGCAGACACAGCGTGCAACAATGTGTGAGTGTGTGTGTGCGCCTGTGTATGTATTGGCGGCATTTTTCGCGTGTGTTGCTCATGTATAACAGTTCGTAGTACAGTTGGCGTGCCCATGATTTTTTATCGCCGTCTGTCAAAGCTAATACCACTACCTAGCTGAATTCTCCATCTCTGTCTAACTCTCCCAGTTTGTTAGTTTAAAATGTCAAACGACGCCAATTGATTATGAGAGTCTGCCCGTCGCCCGTTTGCACTGTCGTGTGCGCGCACGATTTGCCTTTTTGCATGCCTGAAAAGCGACAGGTAAAGCACACGACAGTGTGTAGAGAAAGAGAGCGGTGGGGGAGCTAGGCAAGACATTTGCTGTCTAATAAACGTTCAGCGTTTTGTTCTGTCAGTTGGCCAAGTTAGCGTGCCTAGAAAAAAACAAAGGGCGGAGTAGCCCAAATTGACAGACATTTGGCGGGTGGGAAAGGAAATGAGAGGGTAGCATTTTATGGGCAGCACATTGCAAACGAATAAACCGATACGTTTCACATTTCTGTATGTGTGTGTTTGTGTGTATAATTGATTAATGTCAAAACTGTAACATTTGTGTTTTGGCTGCCGCTGCCAGGTGCCGAGTTGTATAGTTGTATGTAAATATTGTATAGTTTAGATAAATGCTGGTCTTGCATGTTGTTGTCAATCAAATTTGCCTGATTGTTTGCATTATTCGAAATTTATTTAATTTCGTTAACACGCAATTAGTTTTATTTAAGTTTATTGCGGTTCTATTGCTGTCTCGCTCTCACTCTCACATATCAAATCCGTCAGATGTTTGGCGTTGCCAGCCAGTCGCAAAACTGACTGCAAACGAACAGCATGCGATCAAAGTGGGCGCCGCATTAACAATTTCACAAGCTCGGATGACATTTAATATTTCTGCAGACGAAAGCAAAAAGTCAAACGAAAGCAAACTAAATATGTTGAAATTGGATAAAAGTGCACTAAATGCAAAAAGTACACAAATTGGTTACCGCATTGCCAAAATTTAAGTTGCCAAATCAAATGAAGTGTCATTCTAGCATATTTTTTTGCTTTTTAAAACGTAATTTATATGAATTGCATTTTCTTTAAACAGGGCACCGCACGACCGTGATTTTGGATCCGGACCACGTGGCGGCCGCGACCGCGATGACGATCGTCGCGGCGGCGGCGGCGGTGGACGTTTTGGCGGCGGCGGCGACTATCACGGCGTACGCAATGGTCGCATTGAGAAGCGTCGTGATGATCGCGGCGGCGGCGGTGGTGGGCGCTTTGGCGGCGGTGGTGGTGGCGGCGGCGGCTTCGGCGGTGATCGTCGCGGTGGCGGCAGCCAGGATTTGCCCATGCGCCCGGTGGACTTCTCCAATTTGACGCCGTTCAAGAAGAACTTCTATCAGGAGCATCCGACGGTGGCCGCTCGCTCGCCGTACGAGGTGCAGCGCTATCGTGACGAGCACGAGATCACAGTGCGCGGCCAGGCGGCCAATCCCATACAGGACTTTGCCGAGGCCTATCTGCCTGACTATGTGGTGAAGGAGATTCGTCGCCAGGGCTACAAGTCGCCCACACCCATCCAGGCGCAGGGCTGGCCAATTGCAATGAGCGGCGCCAACTTTGTGGGCATTGCCAAGACGGGCTCGGGCAAGACGCTCGGCTATATACTGCCCGCAATTGTGCACATCAACAACCAGCAGCCGCTGCAGCGCGGCGAGGGTCCCATTGCCCTGGTGCTGGCGCCCACACGCGAGCTGGCCCAGCAGATACAGCAGGTGGCCACCGAGTTCGGTTCGTCCTCCTATGTGCGCAACACGTGCGTCTTTGGCGGCGCACCGAAGGGCGGTCAAATGCGCGATCTGCAGCGCGGCTGTGAGATTGTGATTGCCACGCCCGGCCGTCTCATTGATTTCCTCTCGGCGGGCTCGACCAATCTGAAGCGTTGCACCTATCTGGTGCTGGACGAGGCCGATCGCATGTTGGACATGGGCTTCGAGCCGCAGATACGCAAGATTGTTTCACAGATACGTCCCGATCGCCAGACGCTCATGTGGAGCGCCACCTGGCCCAAAGAGGTTAAACAGCTGGCCGAGGACTTCCTCGGCAACTACATACAGATCAACATTGGCTCGCTCGAGCTCTCGGCCAATCACAATATTCGCCAAGTGGTCGATGTTTGCGACGAATTCAGCAAGGAGGATAAGTAAGCATTCAGTCCACATCTCTGGCCAATCCCATCTAGTCCGAACTATACTCTACTTGCCTTACAGACTCAAGAGCTTGCTGTCGGACATCTATGATACCAGCGAGAATCCCGGCAAGATCATCATCTTTGTGGAGACTAAGCGTCGCGTGGACAATCTGGTTCGATTCATACGCAGCTTCGGCGTGCGCTGCGGCGCAATTCACGGCGACAAATCCCAGTCGGAGCGCGATTTTGTTCTGCGCGAATTCCGATCCGGCAAGTCCAACATTCTGGTGGCCACCGATGTGGCGGCCCGTGGCTTGGGTAAGTTAACGTTATGCATGAGCAATTCACGTAGTTTCACGACGTTCGCGCCATCAAGCCTTTGCCATACTAGACGCACACACACACAGACACACGCACACACACACACAGACACACGCACACACACTTAAACATTTGCCCATATAAACATTTGCTTGACATGCACACAGTGAAAACTCGCTAGAACGGACAGCCAGGATTGATATAATTGTAATTGTTAATAAGAAGTTAAAGAAAATATCCCATACAAAAACTCTTGGTCCGATTCATCCTATAGAGCTGCATAATATAGTAGATCGATCTTGACGGATCGTTTCTATTTCATCTATAAGAGTTCCATATGAGGCTAGACTGAGAATTAAGAAACTAGTTTACTCTATGTCTCTAACTGACGGATCAAGAATATATATACTCGCTGGAAGAAATGCCTCGATTCATATATATAAATACAATTTGTTTTGTTGCCAAAGTTTGTCCTTTATCGAGCTGTCCGCTTTACAGAGCTTTCACTGTACATCCCACTAGACTATAACTCCCCCTTCCCACCAAACAAGCCCCACAGATTCAACCGCCCGCCAACCCCCCTCCTCATCAACTGCATCTAGACTTGAAGACAAGAACAAATTAGCGTGCGCGCGAACAACTTTTTTATATAAATATATATAAACTGTTTTTAGTCGTAAGCGCCCCCCAAACAAAGCTGAAAAAAACTTTAATAATCAACATAAATTTTTATTCCATACCCCACACCCGACCCGACCCCGCCCCCATAACCATGCACCCGCCTCCCTGCAAATGCCACCCACAAAAAAAAACCCCGTAAATTATAAATATGTGTGCCTTGTGTTGTGCACACACACACACAATTTTGTCTGTGTGCGTGTCTCTCTCTGCCTCTCTCTCTCTCTCTCTTTGTCTCTCTCTCTTCCTTCTTTCTCGTTTACAGAGGCCGTTTATTGTAGTATGATGGGGAGGATAAAGGACAAACAACAAGTCCCAAAACCTGTACTCGTAACTTGAGCCGACTTTTTCAGCTCTGAAACTGTGAATGAAAGAACAGAAAACAATTGAATTGTTGAGATAATAGAATGTTCAACTGATCCTTCGAGTCGTCGTCGTCGTGTTTCGTTCGTGCTCGGACGCGCGATGATCAACATTAACATACGAGACGAGGGCTTATATATATATATCCCCAACATCATGCATCATACGTGGCCTCTGCAGTCCTCACATATCGAGAAAGAGTGTTGAGTCAACCAACCAAAAAGCCAGCCAGCTAACCAAACCAAAGCACAACAAGCAAAACGGTCAAGAGGGGCGCATCTTGGTTGTCACCAGTTGAAGGCGGCGCTACAATGCAGGCACATAATTATATATATATATATGTATATGTCGAACTTGAAAGGCGCTGATGTCGTCGGCCGGCCGGTTGCTAAGCACACACCACAAACATCAGCCAGGCAGCGACAGCAACACGGAATGAATACCCAGCCCGAAGGATGCACACACACACACACCCGCACACCCAGACACAACCACATACACAGACACAGAGAGAACCATTTCCACTATTAAAGCTGTCCCAGAATTGGAATGGAATGTTGATGATGGATCTCAGGAAGGAAGAGAGCTGTGTGATGATCGTCGTCGTCGTCGTCGCTGCTGCTGCTGCCTCTGCTGCTGCTGAGTGCCTAGCTACCAATTGGGCCGCCACGCCCACTGCCCAACTGCCTGCGCGCCGCCAACGCCCGCCGTCTAGTGGGTGGCAACTGAACCTCTCCTGGACACCGCGACGCTTGTTTGAAAAAGTTGTTCAACAAAAAAGAGTTTAATTTAAATAATAGAAACACACATATATGCCGCCGCCGCCTCTCCCTTCTATGGAGGAGGATGCGGTTACCGGTTGGCCTGGCCCGACCCCCAGCCCCCCAAGTCTAATGAGTCGAGTCGAGTCGAATCGAGTCAGATGAGGTGCACGCGGGGCTCAATGCAACAAACTCTCGCCGCTCGCGCTTCGCCATGCGATGTATCATATTTAAATAATATAATGTACATATATATATATTATTGTTGTTTGGAGAGAGTTTGGACCACGAGCTGCGCGGCGCCACAAAACTTTGAGATTTTGATTGAGAGAAAAATTGAGTGAAACAATTTGTAGCACCAAGAAGGTAACGTACATTTTGAAACATTTTCTTTTTTTCGTAAAAACAAAACCAAAAAAAAAATATATCAAATATTATATATACATATAGAAAGAAAAAAAAAAAGAAGCTGAAAACATACAAAATATAAACTTTACTCGAAAAGCGAATCAAAAAAGACAAGTGTATTCAAAGTGTAAAAACGTCTCGGAAAAACGCTAAAAATTGTTGTTGCAAAAGCAAAAGCAAAGCACCAAAGCAAATAGAAAATTGAAAACAAACCATTTGGCAATTTGCAAACTGTGTTTTTTTTAGAAAATAAACCAAACACAATTTGATTTATATTAATCTATAAACAACACGTTCCATATCTATTTCTCACACACATATGCGCAGACGTCGATGGCATCAAGTATGTCATCAATTTTGACTATCCACAAAATAGCGAGGATTATATACATCGCATTGGACGCACAGGACGTTCGAATACCAAGGGCACATCCTTTGCCTTCTTCACGAAAAACAATGCCAAGCAGGCCAAGGCGCTCGTCGATGTGCTCCGAGAGGCTAACCAGGTGCGTACAGTTAGCGATTCGCATATATAATCTGAATTGTATTTAACCATTTTTTTCCGCTTTGTTTGCAGGAAATCAACCCCGCGCTAGAGAATCTGGCACGCAACTCGCGCTACGACGGTGGCGGTGGACGCTCCCGTTATGGAGGCGGCGGCGGCGGTGGTGGCGGTCGCTTCGGCGGCGGCGGATTCAAGAAGGGCAGCATCAGCAATGGACGCGGCTTTGGCGGTGGCGGCGGCGGCGATGGCGGCGGCTTTGGCAACCGGAACGGCGGCGACGGAGGCGGCCGACACACGCGCTTCGATTAAGCTAAACACAGAGGAAACTAACTATAGTATCAGTTGATTTGATTAGCAAATGAGAAGCAGCTCCTCCCCCCCTCCTAGAACATAAGATTAATTTAAGTAATAGCTACAAATTAAGTTTTCGTACAACCAACTACTCGTATCATCGGTTTGTCCCCGGACGAGCAAATAACCCACAACCAGAAGAGGGGTTAGATGTGAGCCGAAGCAAACAATCTTCTTCTTCAACATAGCATTTTATGTTAGCAAACACTTGTAAATTATTTTGACGCTTGCTCCACACACAACAAACAACACACACTACACACTTAACACTCACTCCCCTGCGAAATGGTAAACACAATATTATAATATCATGTGATAACTTTTAATTTAATACAATATAATCACTTTAAACAACAACAACTTAAACGAAGCGCGTCGTGTGTAAGGCAAAGAGCAAAGGATCATTCCCGTCTCGTTCCCTTCTCTTTTTTGATGATGATGACCAGGAGCAGAGGGCTCGGCTCCTTGTGATCATCATTTAACTTTTGGATACCTTTTATGGCACAATAAGAACTAAAGAAAACAAAAAAATACAATACAAATGAAAAAGTATGCAATTGTATGTACAAGGAGAGAAATTCTCACAATTAAAAATGTTTTAATTTTTCTTTTGGAAAATAAATGTGTGTGAACCTACTTACAACAGCCAAAAGCAACAGAAACTCCGCGTGCGTTGACAGCTTTCTCAATTAAAGTTTAAAGGCCATGATGCCACAGAAGTCGCAGAGGATATTCTTTTTCTTCTTTTGCCAGGCAGGCATCATTAAGTCCCAACAACTTTCGCATCGAGAACCTGTCAGTTGGCGGACAAAGGCACAGGAGCGGAGCGGGGGCATTGGCAGGCCCAATGCCGTAGATAAGAAATTTTGCCAAAACGGCGAGCGACAGCCGTTTCTCTGACACCACATTTAGATGCAATGAAGCCAATTTGGGGGCCAGGAATTGCTAGGAGTTTGAGCCTTTTTCGCCTGTCGCTCACAATTCCTATGACAAGTTTCGCATTGGGGCGACTTACCACCATTTATGCTGCCCCCTGACAGATTGCCGATAATGAGGCTGGGGATGGGCTGTGCTGCGGCTCGAACAATAATTGAAGCAGCCGAGCAAAGTTGTTGAAGCACAAAATAACTGCGCTGCGCGATACTCTGTACGCCAAATGATAGTTTCAGTTAGGTGTGGTTTACCTAATCACAATCATATGTATATATACAAGCGGGTATTGCCCGTCGTTTGTGCAGATTGTAGATAAGCACGCAGCTTGGATTGTGTGAAAAGTGTGAAATATGTCTCAAATATACGTATAGATATTTGGAAATGAATTTGAGCGCCAAATCTTTTGAACCACATTTCCACCAAGCAGGAATGGATTTTCCGAAAAGTGTGAAACAACCCTCAAATGAATTTGAACCAAGATCTTTGAAAACAATTGAGGACAAACAGTTTTATATATATATAAAGATATTAAAGATTTCTTTTAAGTATATTTTGGGTGAGAACTTTTCAGTTGAAAATCTCCAACTATTTCTATAGCAAATATAATAAATATTGTGGGTGAAAATTTAAGAAAAATTTTGTTTTTTTTTTCGTCTTGAATAAAAATAAAAATATTTGAACCATGGGAAACAACAGAAGCTAAAGCGAGAGAAATTTTCAATAAATTTTCCCGAATATCATATGCAGAACGAGTTTATCAATTTTTTCGATAAATCAAACCATTTCAAGCTTATCAATTTTGAGACTTGGTATGTAGGCTGTCCAAGGGTAAACACAGATTGAGAATATTTCACTTTTAGAATACCCTTCACGGTCCATGTCAAATTGTAAAACTCTTCCAAGCCCATTAAAAATGGGTAAAAGGGGTATGATGATTTTCTGCCAATGTATGTAAATAGTTCGTCTAGCCCTCCATGTCTACGTCCATCTGACCTTATGTCAGAACGCATCGTTTTCAGATATTAGAGATATTTCGAAGGTAGGTCCTCTAATATTATCGACAACTTGCCCCTTCGCTAAGCAATCGATAAGAATCGATAACGAAATAATGCATTTTTGCTTAAAAATTTCCAAAGTTTCTAAGAGCTTAGGCTTTCACACTCTAAGGCTTTGCACACTCTTGAATGTCACAGAAAAGTGTTAGATAATAGAATTCCATCTATTTTCCACGCTTTTAGGTGAAATTGAAAAAAAAGGCAGTGCCTTGCAGGGAAACCAAATTAATTGCCAGAAAAATGAAATAGAGAAGCAATAAAAACAGAGCGCACTTTGAAAAGGCTGCTTGAACAGGCATTTTCCAGTTTTCCCCCTTATTTTTCACGCCAAGTAAAATTGTAAGAGAACACTTTCAACATGAGCCACTCCTTGTATCAGGATCCGATGCAGAGCCAACCGATGGTTATACCGGATACGGGCATACATCTGCGTTTGTTGCCAAAGGACATTAGCCTATTCGATCCAGTGCTGTTGCGGCACATGCTCTGCCTGATGATCGTCGTGCGGAACTTCTTTCACGTGTATCTCTGCTGGCGCCAGTTGCGCGTGTGCAACAAGAACGTGGATCCGCCGCCCGAAATGCAGAACGCCTTCACCAAGGAGGCGTATGTGGCGTCCAAAACGGACGAGATGTACTCTGTGGAACAGTCGCTGCTCTCCTACATATTCGATACCATATTTTGTTTTATCGAGCTCTACTTTGGCGTCTATCCGTATCTCTGGAGGGTGATCATCAATTGCTATAGCATTGTCGACGATCTTGTCTGGCAGAGCATTGCGTATGTGGGTTTGTTCTCCAGCTATTTGGTGCTGCGTCACCTGCCCCAAATCTTCTACAACAAGCTGGTGCTCGCCCAATGGTACAATCTTGGCCGGGATAAGACCTTGCCCCTGGTCGGGGTGTTGTGCTCGTTCGCTTTGCTGCTTGTGCTGGTACAGGTGGGCCTTGTGCCGCTGACGGCAATCTTTTTGTTTATTGAAAGGTCGGGCGGCACATTTTTTGTGCTCTGGATTTGGGGTTTCCTGTTCATTGTAACTAGCCTTGGCCTGATGACCTACAGTTTCTTTGGCATTCCGTTTCTGAGCAAGCGTTCCAAGCTGCCCGCCGGCGAACTGAAGGATGCCCTGGCCAAGGTATTGAAGATATTTCGATTTAAGGCCGACCATGTGTACCTGATACACACAAACTTTCAACTGAGCGGCTCAAAAGCCAATGCCTGGGGCTGTTCCTGCTGGAAGCGTATCTTCATCATGGAGAATCTGTTGCTGAATCTCGGCAAGCCCGAGTCCGAGCTGTACGAGGATGAGATCGGCAAGGGTCTCAATACCCAGGAGATGGTCGGCTACATAGCCCACGCACTTGTCCATTGGCGTCAGTGGCACATTGTCAAGTCCTTCATAATGGTCCACGTCACACTTATCGTATACTTTATGATCTTTGGCGTCTGCTATCGGCTGCATTGCCTCTACGAGGCGGCCGGCTTCTCTCCCGGCTTCTATCCGCCCATTGTTGGCTATTGGCTGGTCTACAAGTATGTGATGCCAATTTATTTGACAATTACCAATTGGATTATTTTCTTTGTTCTGCACTCGTTCGAGTATTCGGCCGATAAATATACCTGGAAACTGGGCTATGGCTCGCCACTGGTCGCCGCTTTGCTCAAAATATTTGCCGACAATCCCGTTTTCCCCTACGTGGACAGGTGGTACATGATGTGGCATCGCTTCAGGCCAACATATCTGTTGCGCATCAAGCGTATTGCAGCCTGGCGTGCTGTTTAGCTCCTTGCAGCAACAGAAAAACCATGAATCTATAAACTGAATTGTTCCCGGAACTTGTAGGGATATGGAATTGATAGCTGATCCTAGGCGAAAGCTTAGCTCATCAAATTATATTTATGAAATGTATTTATTTGAGGGGCAATAGGCATAGTTCCCAATTATCTAAACTGTATCTAATGTAAATTCAGATCAGTATTGAAATTAGTTAACAATAATAGAGGATAACTATTACAATCTGCTCTCTTATTAACCTTTCATTTGTATCATTATCTACAAGAGGGGCAGGTAATATTTATCTAGAACTTTTCTGTGTGATACAAGACCAAAAACTGAGAGATAGGAAATTATAATTTGATCTTTGGCTTGAAAATCAAGAAGGAAAGCCAAGAAAGCCTGCGTGCTTAAATTTTTTAAGCGTCGGACCAACAAGCGTGCTGTCGCCGGTTCAAATTCAGTAAAGTTTCTATTCTAATGTTAATTTTCTTATCTCATTCTTCGACCCTATGAAGTACATATATTCATGTCTAGCAGTATATAGTATATATCTTTTGTCCGTTTCTATGCGAACTAGACTCTCAGCTTTAAAACTTTCTTACATTTTATTGCAGGCATTAGATGTGTCGAATCGGATAACTATATCATATAGCTGCCATAGGAACGATATGTCGAATAGTAGGCTCTTATATGGAAAACTTATTGGTTTTTTAACGATATCTTCACTTCTCTCATATATCTGCAAAAGACAAAGGTCAGCAAGGGCCTTTCTTCCTCTATTTGTTTATTTAGCTTGTTATTCACGGTCTAAAATATGACTTATTTTAGCTCTCTTGCCATCGAAACGCTTTGATTAAATGTTGTTAAAGATAATTTCCTTATCGCGCGCCGTGACCACAAATGGTATCTAAATTAATAGCTCCCCAGCCGAAACTAACCAGCTACCCCCCAATCAGCGCATTTATAGCCTTCCCGGCGCAACCGAATGATATGGCAAATTGCTGAGAGTCCACACACGCAGCGACACATTCATGTGCCTTCCTCTCCGCCTGCTCCACCCGCTTTCTGGCCAGAAAGGGAAGCCACTTAACCAGGAACGGGAAGCGGGTCACTTACTTCGCTGCGCGCGCACTCGGATTACAAAAGGAGACGCCACCAGCATAAATTCATTAAATTTGCCTAATTTCGTTTTTGCCACACAACCACACACGCACACACACACACACACACACAAATCAGACAATTGCAAATGTGGGTTCGGGTTAGGCGCAGCCAAGACAACCAGTTGAAATTCATTGATTGTATTTACAACACCCGCGACGGCACACACACACACACCAGCACACCAACACACACACACACACCAACACACACACCACATGAGCTTGGCGCTTTGGTAATTTGACGCGTTATCACTTGTGTTGAGTTTTTGTTATCATTAAGCAGGCAGCGCGGGCGGCGCCTAAGCCAAATCAGAGCTCAAGTTCATAAAATGCACGCCCATCCACACACACACACACACACACACACACACACACACACACACACAGCCAGCGTTTAACTACTTTGGGCGTGGAGAGGGGGCAGAGGGGATCGGACCCTGCTGCTTGTTTTTGACAACTTGGGCATAATAAGACATTAACTTCATGCACATCAAATACTTTATTTATGTGCGTCTGGAGTGTGTGTGCGTGTGTGTGTGTGTGCGTGTGCACACTTCAAAAGGCTGGCGCTGCGGCTGCGCCTGCCACGCCCCCAGCCCAGCATCTTAGATTTTGCCATAATTTACTTGCCTTCTTTCTTTTTTTTTTTTTTCCACCCGCATGCCCTGGCCCTTGGCCACGCTTGCTTGCTTTTTAATTTCGTTTCACTCTCTCTCGCGCTCTCTCTCACTCTCTGTCTCGCTCTCTCTATCTGCGTAAATCTTTTTTGTTTTATATATTTCGTGCGCTTCGTCCTGTTTATTTGGCATCGCCCCGCCGCCGCCTGTTCGGGCTGTTTGGCAAATTAAGTGCAATTGCTTGAATTTAATTTCATGCAAATAAAAGTTTTGATTAGACGCCCTTTGCCCTTGGCTCCCCCTGCCACACACACACGCACACACACACGCACACATGTGGCAGTCACGTGGCGCTTTATTGTAATTAAGTCTTTGCTTGTAAATGTGCTGCGTCAATCAGTCAATCAGCCAGTCAGTCAGTTAGTCAGTCAGTCAATCAGCTAGTTGCTCTCCGCTCTGTCGCTTGTGCTCTACATGACGTATACGTAATGCGCAAACGTTGTATTAAGTGGCGTATACATAATGCGTATACGTTATATTATTTCGCTTGACTTAATTCAGCATAAATAATGCCTTTTTGGTTTATTTTGTAGTCAAGTTTAAATTGTTTTAATATTTAATATTTGTTTTCGATTGATTTGAGTGTGAAGAAAAGAATTGGAAGAATGGAAATATATGAAATATTACTCACCTGAGCTCACAAATCATGCTCAAAATGGGCATGATTGCCTTTTCTGGGCTTTTTGGATGCCACACAGAACAGGTTCTAAGCGATTTGTTTCATTATTATTTGTGTATGTCTGTAAAAGAAGAAGATATTAAGCATTTAGTTGATTTTGTTCAGCCTAAGTTTGTTTTACAAGGAACTGAACAAAATATTCTATTAGAATCTTTAAATTGACTCTGCATAATGATTTGCATTTAATTAAGAATCAAATTTTGGCTTTCAGTTAATCCATTTTTTTCCACATACTTCTCGGTGTCAGCTTTCCATGCTTTAACATCGAATCTTTTAGCTCAAATTCGTATATATTCAGGGGAAAATATGTTCATTCAGATATCTGTATATATATACTTTATAATAATATATATATACTTGACCAAGCATATATACACAAGCACGACTTTATAAAACCCTTTTTAACACAATTTCACTAGGCTTGGGGTATAACAAATTCTGACTGAGAGTTAGTTAGAAGAAAATAGAAAAATTCTGAATGATTTTTCAGGCACATTCTCTTTTAAATAATCAAATTGATGTCATAGATAAAAAGAAATATAGCTATAGTTTAACAACTGATATATGCACTTAGCATATATGTATTTAATTAATATACTATATTATTCAATTAAAAGGCAGCAAGAGTTGAGGCTGTAATGAATACCGACAACGTGGAGCCTAGCCTTTTGTGCGCAGAGTCTTGCCACAGTTTGCGTCATATTTTGGATGCCACTCAGCACGCAACATAATTCAATAAAGTGTCAGGCAAGGAGAAGCAGTCGTCTTGGATGTTGCCCCCGCCAATCCCCCTGCCTGCACCCTCTCCCCCGCCCGATTGCATAATGATGTCACAGCATATTACATATTATGTAAATATGAAATTCAATTGTTTAAGCATTTAGCAGGATGCATAATTTATTAAAATGGCACACCTGACGCATGCCAGCAGGCGGCGTTGCCTAGAGCCCGAACAGGGAGCCGTGGGGAAGGGGGGTGGAGTTAGGGGGGGGGGGGGGGCTGATCCTTCCAGGACATGAAGCTGAGCAGCACGGAACGGCATGTTGACGGCTATTGGCTTTTGTTGTGCTGCTGCTCCTGATGCTGCTGCTGATGTTGCTGCCATTTGAGGCAGGAGGCGTTGTTGCAGTCGGCGACATGACACGAATATAAACAGTAGATGATGCAGGGGAGGGGGGGGGGGGGGGGGAGAGGAGGGTGGCTTGCAGCTGCAGGGTCTGGCTGCGGTGGGTGAAATTGATTTTTAAAACGGCAGCCAGCCAGGACGCAGCTCATGTCGTTAGCAAATCATAAAAGCGTGAAAAGTCCTACTACTATATAGTAGTTGCTTTGTCCTAGCATAATGAGCAGGAGAGAGGAGCGTCGGGGGGTGGGGCACTGCCGGCACTAACTGCAGCTGACATTAAGGAAGATGGATGGCGTTGGCGTTGCGTGCAACATTTAACGCTGATCCCTTTGAGTTTCATATTGACGGCAAGCGCCTTGAGGGTTGACAAAAAAAAAAAAAGAAAAAGGAAGAGGAAAGTGGAAAGAAGATTCAATTTGACACCCTCGTGTCCTGGTCAAGTTAATTTTGTAGCAAGTTTTTAATGGCAGCGGCGCCTCTGATGACTTGATGGCCTTTACGCTGGCTTGTCAGCTTTTGGCCCGGCCCGGCCCGGCCCGGTCCGGCTTCGAGCTGATCCATGCCGCAATCTGCTGACTTGCTGCTAAATTAGCGTTGCAAATATGCGCGCAGGACTCGGGCGTTGTCATCGTTAGTCCTGGCCAAACAGATTTTCATATTAAAGTTGCAACCAAGTTCTCGCTCTCTTTCTCTTGGCTCGCTTTTTTATGCAAGATTTATTGCTATTTAAACGACGCATAATGTGTCCTGGCTGCTGTTGTTGTTGTTGCCAGACAAACAGACACCAGCGCCAGGACACACTTGACAACGTGCTCAAGTGGCTGCCTGCCCCACAATTTCCCCCTCTGTCACGCTCTCCCTGCCCCTCCCCATAGATTGTGCAATATTTTATTTACATTTTTCACTCGTCGTCTGCCTTGGCATATCCTGTTGTTGAATCCTTTTTGCGCCACCCGCCTGCTGTTTGCTTTTACTGCTCCTCCTTTCCGCCTTTCACTGCTGCTGCTGCCCTCCGGCAATCTTTTTTTTTTTCCATGCCTTTTTATTTACATTTTTGTTTCATATTTCTAATGAGCTGTAATTTCTGTTTTATTTGCAGGCGTCATGCGTGCACAAACAACAACAACAAATATTAATAAAACAAGTAAGCGGGCTTTGGTTGGCTGTGAACGACTAGTAGATACCCTCGAGAACCTAACTGACGATACAATCATTTCCGCTTGCCTCCCTCTGCACACATGCAAGACAATACACACCCTCACACACACACACACATTTTATGCTGTGGCTGTGCTTCTTCTTGGCTTAAGCCCACACTATTTATAGGAAAACAATCTTGTTTTTAGAGAGGTGTGTGCATACCACAGCTGAAAGCTATAACTCTTCCCCTTATTAAGGGGTTCAATCTCTAGCTATTGTAAGCTTGGATATACGGTTAAAAAAGAACCCAAACTGAACATCGATATCATGGAAAAGACTTGAATATTCGAACATTTAAAAGAGACTTGATCTGCGTAGGCAATAAGAAAACGTTCCAACTCAAAAGTCTAAAGCTCTTGTAGCCTCAGAGTTATTATATTATATTATCTTATATA